TGATGTTTCAGACAATATTGGGCAATAGCAGGACAGGCGGGTGCGTGACGGGAGAAGTACGGAGGATTGAATGAGGCAAGGCCTTTGAAGTCGACCGCTGTTAGGGTCTTGTCTAGCCCAGCACAGAGGTCTGGCGTCTATGTGGCGTATTGCATTACACAAAATGAGATAAGGTGTGGTATGTTGCTCGCGCGTGTTTACTTCACTATATTAAGGGGTAACAGGCATTGCCGTTGAAGGCTTAGACTGCTCGCTTAGGTTCGACTGCAGACGGGACACCTTGCTACATTGTTGGGGGAAATCAATTTACGAAGTTGGGGTACATCATTCGAAACAAACCCCTCCGACCTCGGTCCAGCAGTTGCTAGTTGACCTGAAATGCAGCAGCTACTGTACAAGAACCACGCAATATTCACAAGGCGCCAGAAGACAGCCAGGGGCTTGCACACGCGTAATTATATATCGTACAGACAGCTATGCTGGCTGTAGACTACATAATTAGGTAACGTTTAGGCTACAGAATTCAATTACGGAAGATGGATTTATATATCTACTTTAATAGTAGAAAGCAATATATGTGTGATTTGACTAAATAAGCCTTAACTGAGTTATGCGTATGTGTGGGCGGAGATAATATAAACGAAAAATGTTGCCGACAGAGAATGCGAATGGCTATTCTCCATTTCATTGACGCAATCAGCCAATCTTAAGAAAAGCTTCACCGCCGACAGACCGAACTCGAGTGCATCGATAACTGAGTGTTTGATTGCCAAACTCCACTCACTTAACTATAGGTCGTAGCTGTTCGACTATAAGAAGTGGACGAAAAAAACGAGGGGCTAACTCAGGGGACCATTTGAGGTGCGTTTCAAGCACCTATGCTCTATAATTTCAAATCCGATTCGCCGACATAGCAAAATAACAGAAAACTAACCATACATGCCTATCTGCTTTTTATTTGCAATGTTATTAAATTACTTTCATATAGTTCTCGTTCTTTGCTACGTGGTGGTCTGTAGTGGTAATGGATGAGTTAACGACATAGAAAGGAAACTGTCTGTCTGCAGTCTGGCGGTTGGCAAAAATCAGTGAACAACCATCCACTCTGACAGGCATGATGTTTTTACTCATTTTTTATAATTAATATCCAGGTGTATTAACTAACTTCTTCAACCTAGTTCATGTAGACATCGACGGATATTAAAATTAGTCTGCATCGCCTATGTGGAGTTATAACAGCATTAGTAATGAAAAGGTACGAAAACCAAATATTTCAGCTTATCTACAAAAGCCATAACTCCAACAGTTTTGTCCGAACCAGGCCAAGTACGAACTCGATTGTGTGGAGGACCGGATCGTGAAACCTGTTTGTATCTTTATGCCTTTATCTCAAAGTGGAGCCTTCCAGTCTGCCAGGTACCGGCCAATGATTTCGACAACAACAACAAGAGAGGTTGGAAAAACAATTGCTAGCTTAGTAATAGTCCTGAATAAAACTTTACGCAAATTAATGTTTATTAAACCCTGAATTTGATACTTGATCATTTTGTTTGGTGGCAGATTATATCTAGTTTTCCAATATTATTTCGTGTAGCCTCTTATTGTTTCAGTTGCAACCGGAAATAGCAATTGCTACAGAATCGTTTAGGGAACGTGGTCATTCAGATGAATTTTGAAACTGAACCTAAAGTGCCTAGAAATACTTGCAAATTGCGAGTGACTGAACATCGAATAACTAATTTTCAAAATTCCAATCCAAGCCTTCCTGTGTTGCATTTATGATTTCTGCATCTAAAAACCTTTATTTCAAAGAGATATAATCAAAATCAGCCGTTTCCTACTGACAAAGATTAATGACAGACGAGAGTAAAAGGGCTAAGGACACAACATAAACATAGTGAAGGTGTTTGGTGTTAAAATTATAATGAGAAAACTTCATGTGATTCGGGTTTTTAACTGTAGTCTCTCGGTGATCAAGGAAGCTCTCCGGTATATTTTTACCAACCTTGAATCACATCTTTTTACTATGGAAACCTAGAATTTATTTTGTGAGCTCTTCTACATATGCGAGTCTGAAAAGTTTAATTTTATACGTATCTTAAGCGGGTCGCCACCAGCGCCGAATTTTTTTGGGCGATGCCTAGCCTAACAATTACCAAAACCAAGAAGATTTAAATTGAACTCCGTCGATAATTTTAAATCAGCTCACATTTCCCTATAAACTTTCGGACCGTACTTGAACTGTGTTCTCCGAGGAAGCATACGCTCCTTGAAGGAAACGTCTGACTTTATAGACGATGACTAGCAGCTAGCTTTATATAGGTCAGTAGGTGTAAATTGAACATGGCTACTGATAACTGCGACTCAACCCAACTCCTTAAGGCAAATTTGATTTTTATTCAGTGGTTTATTTCCACATTCTGCATAAATTCCTCGACAAAATTGAAAGGCCAGCATGCAAGTCGTGTTAAAATGGCAGGCAGCCTATAGGAAACGCTGTGGATTACTTGATGCGCTTAATCTCGTCCAGATATCATGCTGTGTAGAATATAGACAAAACATACGTGCCTGGGTTTTAGCTCGCACCTGTAATAATTAGTATTGCATCTGATTACGGGACGAACGCGTAGTTTATGATGAACATTTGTTTCTAAGTAAACAATTATGGTAAACTGTAGTTGGTTATGGTTTGCTCATTTGACAGATTTATGACTGAAAATGTTTCTGCCAGGCAATAAAATCGAAGCCCGAAACGGCGAGGTACCTGTTATTTTAGTGAACTGCAATCTGGATGGGAAAAACAATTTCCAGGCCTTACGTGTGTACAAAGTGTTTTAGGTGATATCACGATGATGATCATAAGGACAAGTGCGGACCTGCCCTACCACATGAGAAAGTTGTTCGTCCATTGACGTGCCTTTTCCAGCTACTCTTTTTCTAAATAAGCTGTCAGGCTTTCATTTTTCATACTGGACACCTTTAATTTTTGAAGTCATTATTATTGAATATACTTAACTGACGGCGGCATGCTTCATGCATGCTTGTGTATAGCAGCGGTACGTACCGTTTAATGACTTACCTAATGGCATCGTTGGTTGAAACCCTCCTGCCTCTTTGACAAACCCGAACGCTTTTTGGCCATTAAAAGCGGGAAGTGTTAAGTGAGACGCCATCAGTGCCGTAGAAGTGTCGAAAAAGGTGAGGAAGGCTTAATTGCACACACGAGGCTTGGCTGGAGTGGTCCTTCAGCATAACGTGAAGTGACCTCTGAGTAGTCTCGTCGAGAGCGATTTCAATAATCCCTGAGTGAAATGAAAGCTAGGTGGGGCATGAAACGGTGTTTGTAGGTATTTGTTTTTTAATAACTTAAATTAATTTAGTAAATGTCTTAAGTATTAAAAACAGCGTAGAATTTTGTTCAAAGCTTACACAAATACATGTTCAGAAGTTTTCAAACTATTATGATGAAGCAAAGTGTACTAATTAGAATTCGTTTCTGACCGCTACATAGGCCACAAAAAATCGTAAATATACTTCCCTCAAGGCATCCGAGCTAGATTCAACGCCCGTGGTCCTATTGACGCACGTTCTCGCGAATTAATTTTAATTAGCTCAAGTCAGAAACAAGCAGGCTACGGAGGAGAAGTGGGAAAATAAATGATTCGGATTTATTTTACTGTCATTCACCTCAAATTGACTATCCATTCGTTTTCCAAGAGATCTGTGTCCAGATGCGCGTGATATGTATCATCAAAATTCCAGTGGAAACCGTACACATTCTCTTCGAATAATAATGAAAAGTTTCTGGGGCAACAGTAAATCATCCATCAAATCGCATGGTTAAATGTTTTCCAGAGGTGAGTGTGCATACTCTTTGTCCTAATTACTGGTGTAAGTAAGTGGAGCGCGTGATATGCAAGAATATAGAACTACCCACTGTTCTTAGGTTTCCACTCTCAGGTGATACTAATATGCGCCACTTTGTTTTGACTACCCGAAATACGTTAACGCAACTGGTTAATAGTGTGATCGCTCACACAAGAAGTTTAGTCAGACATTCAATATGGATATTCTGGACCAGATTATACGTTTTTGATTGAATGTCCAAGAAATAAAGTATAGGCGAATCCTTGCAATTTATTTCGAGAATAGCCAGTGATTGTGCAGGTGACTGGCTATATATCAATCTCGGTTCGACCGAAGAATAAGAAACATCCCCTATTGATGCAAATGGTCATTCTATTAAGTCAAAAAGGGTACACGTTTCCGTGTCCAACCCTCTAAACCTAACATTATTTAAAAGCTATACGTGAACCATAACCCGACCCTAAATCTTCCTGGATATTAAGGCATACTGACACATATTACGGGGGTTCCTGTTCCTTCTATCCTAATTAAACTTCCATAAAACCCTATAAACATCGTTTCCGTAGGAAAAAATGCAGGGACTAAGGGTATATATCAGGTGTTGCCGTTTTATTTAATTCATTTGACTTATTTGTGAACAACTCGTAGGCCTAGGTGCAGAAGGGTTTATTACAGCCGCCCTCTAGCAAAGTGAACTTTCGAGGTCCCACTGGTAGTTTTGTGTTTACAGACAAGCAAATAAATCACATGATTCACATTTTGTCAAAACAGCATTACGAGAGTTAAGCATGTAATTTATGAAATGCCATTTTCCTTTTTTGGAGTAAGTTTTTTTCCGTGTTAAGCTTTTAAATGATATTACATACTGATATAATGAGCTTAAAGTGTGGCAGATAGGTGATTTGTTCTTATCACATCTGATTATGCTACACAGGGAGACTATTCTTCCTCGTGTTGTTACATCGAATCACATACACGTTGCTCAATTGGATTGCCCTTAGACAGAATTGTTACATAAAGCTGTTTCCCCCTTCTCTAACTCTCTCCTAATTGGCTATAAATTCGTTCTCGTGGGTTGGCAGAGATTGGAAGCTGTTGAATGCGCACTTGGAAGGAAATTAACATTAAAAGCAATGTTGCCTCTAAAAGAGAACCGTTAGTTTTATGAAAGTGACTATTGCTATAAAAGGCGACCGGTTTATCGGTTTTAACTTATTTTTATCGCGCATATTTTTGGCATCTTCTAGGTCTCCCGCAATCCACCAATAAAGCCGACAATGCGGAGAAGATCCCGAAGCGGCGTAGGAAGCCCGCTTTTGAGGGAAGGATAGAAACCGCTGTCTTCGAGGCCACAGATGACGGTGTCGTGGACATTAAGACTTCCGTTGAACAACTTCAGCCAGATGCAGAGGAAGTGGCGGGTGAGAAAAGATCACACTGGGATGACTTGCTTAGCCATACCATCTCCGTCGACGGTGAACGCATCCCGGGCAAATTACTCCATCAGTGCAGTATCGAAGTGAGTAGGCGACTTAAGTTCAGTTAAAAGATACAGATAATTTGCAGAACTAATGGGATTAGAAACAGAGATATAAACCAACCTCAAAAGGGCACACCTTTTTTGCTATAAACAGTGACAGAAGTATGGGAAAGATAGTAAACCATTTTTTGACCGAAACAATTCGTTCTGGCAAGTATACAGAACAACTGACAGAGTAGCGGGCCACGCAGTGAAGGGAAGTGTTATGTATTCAAAACAGAAGGCAGTTTGTAGGCAGAAGGTTGTATAGGCAAAACAGAAGGTGTCCGTAAGCAGGAGGTGTGCTGTAGGACATGTAAGCAGTTTTGTGTGTGAGTCATGTTAAGCAAGGGGATTTATGGTGGGGCTTAAACGTCATTGGTTGAAAGCTAGCCAGTCAGAGTAGAGTAGGGCGTCACGCGCGTCACGCGTTCGCTCTAGGCATAATTGCCTAGCGCGAACTATCCCGACATCCCGTGCCGGCCTACATAGCATTCCTCCACCCTCAAGTTAACAGCATCTGAAAGGGGGAG